CTTCCAGATAACCAGGGTCAGCCGCACACATGTGGCCACCACCATGGCTAGACTCCTTGCTGTTCTTTATCATTTTATCGTCCCTAAACCAGCTTTCCCTGGTTTTGAACTTTATGCATAAATAAGATACACCGTACACATTCTTTTATGTTTTTTTAAAAATACTCAACATTAATTCATGGCATTTATTTATTGCATGGGGCTATGATTCTTTCATTTTCACTGCCATCTAGAATTTTATTAGAATATACTTTATTCATTTTCTGTTGATAGACTATCATAGATAACAATTCTGTTACCTTTCACATCTGGGTAAATATTCTGGTGCATACATACATGAGTTTCTTTAAGATATAGTTGCCTGGGGGGCTGCCAGATGGCGTGGTGGTTAAGGGCACTGGACTCCTCCGTGGCCGACTAAGGTTCGAGTCCTGGACCTAGTGGCTTGCTTTCTCACTTCCTCTCTCTCATTCTGTCTCTCTCTGGTCAAATTAAAATAAATAAATAAAATTAAAATAATTCTTAAAAAAAAAAAAAGATACAGTTGCCTAGGGGACCAGCAGTTAGTGTAATGGCTATGTCGCTGGACTCCCATGTAGCCGACCGCGGTTCAAGTCCTGGACCTGGTGGCTTAAAACTCACGCTGGGCACATGTGCGTGCGTTCTCAAGATCCTAAGAGGAGAATGGAGAAGGGATTGCTGTGTGGCCACCCCCCTGGGGGGTGATTTCTCACTTTCTGTCTCTCCGTCTGTCTCTGTCTCATGAGCGCATACTCCCTGTAGCAAAAACCTCTCAAAAAATAAAACAAAAAAACCCCAAAAAAACCAAAGATACAGTTACCTAAAAGAGGAATTGCTTGGCAATTTGATGTCAAACTTTTTTCAAAATGGTTGTCTGAAATTAAACTCTAATAGTAGTATACTAAAATTCCCATTGTTCCATATTATCTTTGGCATTCGATATCATCAGACTTTTTAGTTCTAGCTGATCGGTGGGTATATTGTAGTATTTTGTTGTAGTTTTTATTTCCTCCCATTATTCACAAGGTTGCACACCTTGTCATGTGTATATCAGTCACTTGGATTTTCTTTTATGATGAGCCTGTTCAAGTCTTCTGTTCATTTTTCTGTTCAGTTCTCTTTTTCTCTTTTTTTCTTATTAAATTGTAGTTCAGAAATGTTGGAATAATTTCTTTTTCATATTGTACTGTCTTATCCTATCATGTCATTTCACTCTTTATAGTTTAATGAGCAGGACTTTTTTTTTCTTAAATTTTTGCTATCGAGCTGGTGCACTTGCTAGCATCCCCCCGCCCCCCGCC